GAATAGAATACCAATGTACCATCGTAACTAATATACAGCAGAGTTACAATGGGACGTGGGAAGTACAAGCATTTTGCTCCTAAATGCTACTAACACAAAATGAGAGATCTCAAGATATTTGCAGTCAAATTATTTACTAATCAGAGTCCAAAGAATTCATGCCATTATTACATGGTGAACACAATTTGCAGCTGTGGCAAACCTGAAAACTGTAACATACTCACTTCTTTGAACGCCATTAGCAACCTGCAGTCAGGGTGCAGTAAATAAAAATTTTGTATAAATGTTTCCACGTTATACATAAGAGAAACCACAATATCAGATTCAGACATAGAAAGGGGGGGAGAGGGGGGCAGGCCAACACCATCATTAGTAATAAATGCAGATGTCATAACTTTCAGTACTTTAAATCATCATGGATTTGATTGGCAGGCACTTAAGAAATATCAAAGCTAAAAAGCAGAGGGAAAGAATAATCAAATAGCGTAGTTACAGGAAGGAGACTGACAGCACTGTCTTGCACCTGAACTCAGTCTTTCCAAGCAGACCTAATTACCGTAATAAGCTGCCATTAACCTTGAAATGATACTGCCATTGGGTAGCAACACTGTACTTAATCTAATAATACTCCAGAGATGAGATAGGAAAAGGGGTTTATGACATCTGCAACTGTAAGTGACATATAAACTCTTTGTACAATACAGAGGCATTATGCCTATAAAATGTCACCAGGAATTAAGTCATTCCCTATAAATAACTACGTATCAGTAAAACTTTGTCACTGCTAGGATTCAATCTCAGACAATTCACTGTCATCTAAGTCTCGATTTATTGCAGCAGACAGGTACACTTTCAAATACCTTATGATTATACCTCACAAAGGAGCCAAGTGCCCTGTGGAAGACCAAGACAACTTAGGAAACCAAATTCACGTTGGCATACAATGGATTTGAAAAGCAAAGCAGAATGGGGAATAAAATTGAGGAAAGCCTTTTCCAAACAATTGACACTTATGAGAAACCTAAACAGTTTATAATATCAGTTTGCATTGCCTCTAGGAAAGAATGCTTTTTCTCAAAAGTCCAAACATTTAATGTAAATAGCTTGTTAAACATTCTTATTAAATCATTTTTGTATTTCACTTATAAACGGAGTGCTTGTTTAGAAGGTATGTATTTTATTGCATTAAATAATCCATAAAAAACCTTTTATTTCAGGTCTTCTGAAATGGATCTATCAGGTAGCTCTATCTGGCTCTCGTCTTCCCAAAACAAAATTAATTTAGTATGCATTAACCTAGATATTTGTTCAGATGAAAAATAAAATGTAATAGTCTACAGTGAAGTCTTTTCTGAATTTCTCAAGAGTTTTTAATTTTTTACCCATTTACAGGTCTAGGTATTCTGATAGTCAAGAGAAGCCTGTACTTCAAATCCACAATGTGGATAAACTGGATCAAGAAGGATGTGCATAGAAGTTCACATAATTTTCCAAGTGCTCTAATAAAATATAGTTGCTCTACCTACAGACCTTAACGTGAGAAGTTGGAGGGCACCATAAAAAAGCCATAAGAACTAAAAAAATGCCTCAAAATATACATTATAAGCAAAAGACTCAAGAAATTTTCTGAATAAAGTAGCTAAAAATGTCTTGGCTATAGTCTAGAAATACCTTTACCAAACAAAAAAAAAAAACTAACTAGAAGCCTAAAGATCTATCTAACATTGTTACAACAAAATCCAGTAACTAGAAATGGATGTTAGCCAAGTAATTTTGCCTAGAAGGCACTTTTTATCATTCTAAATATATTGTCCCTTTGACACTTAGCAACCCACAATAATTTTTTTTAAGTGTGAGGGTGACAATGGTATCAAAGTTTTACTTACTTTGCAGTGACAACTCCAGTTACATCTTCCTCCCTCAAAGAGTAGTATAATGGTGTTGTTATCATAACATCAAATTTTGGTAAAACTAAAGAAAAAATTACAGAAAGCATCAAATTCACACAAGAAATAATACATTTTTCTTTTTTTTAAGTAATACAGGTAGAACATGTAATATGACAAAGACTACTACAGTTTCCCAAGGAATATAAGGTAAGATATATTTCAACCCAACCCTATACATGCCCCAGACTTTTTGTTGAAAGAACAACAAGCATCATGAGCAGCCTGCGTACAAGCTCGTAAGACTGAAATATAAAATGTTTAGCTTATTCAGCCTTTACAGAATCATCAGCAAGCTTCACGACCAGACATTATACAGATATTTCAGGATGAACACATTGCCTGCATGATCCTGGAAAATCAGGGACAACCACCACATCTCATATCTTAAGACAAGTACTTTAAAGATTACATGACATCCAGACACTACAGTAGTAGGTCATTAAAACCACCAAAGATAAACAGGGCAGCTGATAAGACAATGTTTTTCCCGGGACACAGAGTCTGTCTCAGAGAAGCAAGACATCTGGAAATTAGACTTTCTGGGCATATTCAAAAGGTTCATGCTAGCCAAGGGAAGCCAGTCTAAATTAATGGAGAATCAACTACTAGTTTTGGTTACTACTAAATGCCATTAAGTAACACTTACCATATTCCATCACTTTAAATCTTTGATAATGAACTTGACCCTATTGAAAAAAAAAAAAAATATGAGAAAAATATATACAATTGTGGTTATATGAGCAAGTTTAACATACCTTCTAGGCCAAATCCTACCCATATTCAAGTTAAATTACAATTTCTGACACGATGTGATTTTAAATCTGGCTCAACCATTATCAGCTCCTGTTATGGAGCTCCTTTATTTACCAGCAGTATTTATTTGCACCACAGAAGGACACAGAAGCTCACATGCAGCAGATGGTAAGTACATATAATGAAAAGCGCATAGAGCTTCCGATCTGCAGACATCTACATATGCCTGGTTTCTGTATAAAAAACCAAAATATCTGCGCTAGTTAGCATAAAACTACCTAGCATAATTACTCACAGTCATCATGATGAACTATGACCTACCAGCAGTATCTTTACTAACTCATTTAAAATTAACTCAAGGATCTGTATACTGAAGAGAAGCTCCAACAGTGCCTATCTAGAGGACAAGACCATTTCAAAAGCATGTATAATCTTAAGGTTCTTCATTTACTCAAAAGGCAGTTAAAATTTTGTTACAGTCTAGAGTGCATACTTCCTTCAGCAGAGATACTCTTGGGGTATATCTTCTTGTCTTGTTTATTTGTTAGTTAAAAATCAATGGAAGATATAAACAACTATACAATATATTGTTACTTGTGTTCTTTCTACTTTCCTATTTTTCTAATTTTTTCACTTATTTCTTGATTTTCCTCAGAAGGGTATCTGAAAGCATATTCTGGCATATCTTTGACATGTGGTACATCAGGCCATATATGGCACATCACTGGGAAATTATTTTTAAAGGTTTTTTTTCACTTTATGAAGATTAAAAAAAATCAGCAGCTACTTTTGTTCTTTGGTACAATGACAGTTGACCAAAAAGACATGGTAGCCAGCCACATAGATTCTGCTTTTTGTTGTCTTATTCGATTGTTCTTCCTTGCTAAAGTGGGAGTAATTCAAGTTGCGCCAGGCAAGGTTTACATTGGACATTAGGAAAAATTTCTTCACTGAAAGGGTTATCAAGCACTGGAACAGGCTGCCTGGGGAAGCGGTGGAGTCACCATCCCCGGAGGTGTTTAAAAGACGTGTAGATGTGGCAGTTAGGGACACTGTTTACTGGTGGACTTGGCAGTGTCAGGTTTATGGTCGGACTCAATGATCTTAAAGGCCTTTTCCAACCTAAATGCTTAAATTATTTTGACCAAGCTTGTACATCATTTGTCTGCTGACATATAACCCCTCATTCAGTGATTTTTTTATGGCATCATACCAAAAGCTGCCATCAGCAGGGAAATGGCATGGGGTGATTTACCAGCAGCACCCAGAACCATAGCTCTGATCAAGCAGCTGATCTGCTTGACACAGAGATTACACTGGAGCAATGATTTTCCAAGAGGAAAATCTGAGCTCAGCTAGGCTGGAAGAATGGGCTGAGAAACCAAAGAAGTCTCCACTTCCAAAAGGACAGGAAGGGAGAGGCTCCTTTTGAAAGCCTATTTTGCCTCTTCACTTAAGAGTCTTCTGGGAAATAGGGGAAAGACCAAGAAAGACAACAGTCTGTCACTAGGAGGTGGCTATTTTGAAAGGGTAATATCACCAGCTGCTGCTCAGTTGCATGATGAGGTTAGATGTGGAGCTCAGAAGTCTGACTGATTATTCCTGAGAACTGTGACACCACTACAAGTTATCATATGTACTGGAGTATCTCAGTGAACATGGTTTGAATTGTGGGGCAAAGGAGACTGAATACGGGTAACTGATTGCCAGGCAGCATCAAGATATGTCAGATGGAAATGAGTGTCTCTAGCAAGAGAGGACAAACTGAGAACTCCTCTGGGAAAGACCCTAGGACTAGGATTCAAGCTGGAAACAATTATAACTGATCTCTCTTACCTGATCAATGACTTTGCAAATTAGGCATCTCAAACCAAGCCCCTTATACCTCTATATTTACACTTTTCCTAGGAAAAGACTTCTATTCAAATAAAAATCAGGTTGCTACTGATTTCATGATTAAGTCACTGATCACCAAAATAATTGCCATATTTGTATTCCTAGGTTTGAAGAGATATACGCTATTTTCACAACATTTGTGCAGATCATGCAGTCCACAATCAGATTACTATCAGGTAATCTTAGGAACAGGTATCTTAGGAAGATGACTGGTAGCGAATTCATCTCATGTCTGGTTCTCTGTACATCTTTTATTTCCAATGATAAGCATATATATGTCACCACTGCCATTAAGCAAAACATGAACAGAATGTTATCCCACCTAGCAGGACAAAAAAGTATCTCCTTTGAAAATGAGGTTTTGTTTCACATGACCTTAGAAGTCAAAAAAAAATAATCAAAAGCTAAGAGGACTGTAAGCAGCAGAAAACAGAAATTAAAGTGAGACTCTTGGCTGCAATGACTACCTTTATGACAGAAAGCAAGCTGTGCTTCACGGTGCAGGGAAAGGAAAACACTCTACTAGGTCATTTTGAAGATTTGAACACCAAGTCAGATTTCCCACTAACACACACTTCTCAGCCAAACTGGTTTGGGATAAGACAAGTAACAGCACTTTCAACCACTCTGGATCATTTTAGCTCCTCAGGGCAGGGCTGTGTCTCTGGCAAATATCATCTAAATATTTTGGAGTGGAAGTTGTTAAACCAGTTTCCAGAAGTGGGGGCTTCTGAGACAAACAGTTTATATATACAACCCAAAAGGGATTTTTTTTTTTTAAGATAAGAAAACAACACCATGCCTATTCCACTTGTTCCCAGAGCTGCTTTATTCTAGTACAGTTTTTGTCTTCAATGCCTTCTCCTACTTCTTAAACACACTCACCCTTCCCGACTATTAACATTTTGCTCTAAATCAGCATTTCTTGAACTGCAAAACATCCATTACATTCTGTGCACGTTGCCCAGAGTATTAAGAAAACAGTGCCAAAAAGAGAATATACAAGTACTCTGAGGTCAGGAGGATGATGAAGCTTTTCTGCAGTTGAGCCTTATATGCTGTGGATCCTGACATCTTAAGAATCACTAACTGCAGCCCAGACTTTGCTCTGCTGTGGTAAATCAGACTCCTGTTTGAAGTCATTTGGGTCTAATCCAACAAATAAGATCTCAGGAGTTGGTTCCCTGCTCCCCCACCCAC